TACTGCACCACCTTCACCCTTCACCATCGCGTTGTTCTGTTCATGAGCCTGATCAATAGCCATCGCACTGTAAAGCTGCCTGCACTGATGAACTCTGAGGCAACCTCTGGGTGCATTGTATTCAACGAAATCATATCGCGAAGGTGGATGGGTAGCCATCTTGAATAATTTATGTGATCAAGGGCGAAGAACCATGGGATCATCCTACTCAATGTGTCGACATATAATTGGAAATTAGCTTCTCTGAGAGATCTAATGAAGAGTAGCAACATCAGTTCTAGTTGTAAGGTAATGTACCAGAACTGGAACTGGGGTGTGGAAGCCATTTTCTCCAAACACCAATCATCGAATGGTAGTGATGCGTCTTCTGCCAATCCACTGTACTGCGTATATGCGTGACAAAGCAGGATATACAAACTGCTGGCAGTCAACTGATGTGCGTGTCGAGAACGAGTTACACTCGCAGCTTTTATGAAAGAATCGGCTGTTCCTGGTGAAGCTACTTTAGACTGGATGAGGGCTGATGTCCAACCGCTGTCTTCAAGCCAGTGGCCAAGTAGTCGTAAGAATGCCATCTCGATGCGCAGCCCTCCAAACATCATAACAACGTGGTGCTCACCATAGCTTTCAGGCCAATTCCATTGAATTTGCTTGGCAACGGCATATAATGGTTGATCGAGTGCGATGACGGGGACTTGACCTGGATTAAGATGTGTAACAGCTCGCCTTATCATATCAACTGCATGGCGGATCATAGCAACAGATTTCGATTCATCAGGGAAGAGAGGTAATAACGAAGAAATGGTATGCTCTGTGTACTCTTTTTCTTCCTCTAGATTAGAATGGTATCCTGCCCATGAAATATATACATTCTCCCTCTTCTAAATTCTGCTGGGTGTCGATAGTGGCTCTAACATTCTCCAACCACAAGAATTCTTCTTTAACAGCGCACATATAAATTGAACCATCTGCTTTCATTTCGCATTGCATTTCTGGAACAGGAGGGTCTTTTTGACGAAGAGAAGCAGGAGGTACATTTGCGTAGGAATCTGGTAACTGTGAAACTGTCTTGGTGGTGATGGTTGATGAAGACTGCTCAAGTACAACTATTTCGCGATCAATCCCAGGACAGTCGGTGGAGACGTGCTGGAAAAGTGATATACCAGTACCATGAAATGAATCACTGGCGGTGGTAGAGCTTGGATTGTGGTCGATATTGTCAATCGCAGCGGTTGTGAACAGCCTTTTGCGAAGATTAGTTGGGCAAACAACTTTCTCTTCTTCAAATCGGCGGCAAACACCATTTCCAAGGTCGGTGGATATGCTCATCACTCTGTCGTAGGATACCGAAAGACCAAGATTGTAAAGATTGTCCACAAGTTCACGACTCCGAGTTTTTGCGTGAACTGAGAGACCCAAATAGATTGGAAGTAGCGTCTCGCGTTTCCGGCTGTGACGTTCGTGTTGATGCGGTCCCTTGCGTCGACGCAAATAGCTATTGTACTGTAATAACTGCGCGATACTAAGTCCTGCTTGAGTAGCATTGGCGTTGCTTGCTTGTGTTTTGATGTTTGGCCCATACAAAATGATGTTAATTAGCGATAGAAGTGACTTTGGTACCGAGTTGTGTTGGCAATCTTTATCAAATAATCCATCGAAACTGTTTTCTATCATCATCATTTCTCTTCTTACAATAGTTGCCGACCGTGCCAGATGCATTGCCTCGTTGTCACAACTTTGACGCGCTCTTCGAAGTGCCATCGCAACATCTTCTTTAAATGCAAGTAAAATGTCACGACCTTGCTTGTGTTCTTCAAGATCAGGAATCATAGCTAATATTCGATCTTTCAACCTGGAAGTGTGGGTGCGACCGATTATATTTGCCCCAAGTTGCTTAAGTCGAGAGGTGCACATACTCGATAAATCAACAAGCTTATGAATTGGGATTACATCTTCCTGTGACCGGGAATCTTCTATGAAAATGACTAATTCAGCAAATGCTATACCTTCTAATTGCAGAGTATGGTCGTCATCTTTATCCTCGGTGTCCACTGCCCTTGCTCTGTTGGAAAGAGATGTTAAGCATGCATTGTGGTATTTGGCTTCAATTGCAACAAGATCACCTGTACTCAATTTAGCAAGAAGATTCTGGTCATTTAAAACAGCCGCGTATTTTCGAACACGAGCATCTAATCCAAATGTAGACGCATTGTGTAGAGGATTGTTCCAACGTTCGCATTCATCACAGATAAAACACCTATTTATGTTCGGTGGTGCTTCACTTCCGGTGTTGGAACGCGTAAATTTCTTACCAATGCCTGAGCTCTGCTCCTCTGTAGAATATCTTTTCTCGGCTCTTCTTAGCTTGGTGATGTTAAATTTGGTATTACAGCTCTTGTGCCAACGGGCCTTTTCACTTATAAATGTTTGTTCTATTCCACTCCCCTCATCCAGCCTCTCTATATTAAGTGATAATGGCATACATCCTAGCTGTCCAAATCTAACGCTGTTGTCTGCGAGAGTTTTGTATCCAGCTCCAACATCTGTCCGCTTTGATTCTGCGGGACATTGCAGTACTTCTTCTGTGTTTTCCTGACAGATAACACATTGTTGCCAATCTGTTTTCACCACATCCTTGGACTTAGGCAAAGAACTCATCCTGGCAAAAATGCGAGATCTAAAAAACGGTTCACTTATTCATGCGGTCCCTTGGTCAACGTTTATTCTGAATTAGTATAAACCTCCTTTTGAGGTATGGTTTCTAACTATATCTTTCAAAATGGTGACCACTTTTTAACGATGCAAAAAATTCTTCAAAACTGATTGTAAACACCCCTCAAATACCTTGTATACTCTATCAGATTAGTATACTAAAATAATTAGACAACTTGCCCTGGCCTCTTTCTTTATAAGCGATGGTTAATATGTATTTGCTTCGTTGAATTGTCAATGATAATACAAGTGATGTTTTTATACTTACAGTTCATCTAGTTGGCAATGTATCAACTTCTTTCGTACATGAGATGTAAATGATCACGTAATATTCAAAAGGTCCAACGTTTTAACTGTATATATCTTTATGTTCCGAGAATAACAACTATTTGGTAAAATCGTATTAATGCAATAATGGGAAATAAGTTTGCCCAAGCCAAGTTAGGTAAAAAGAACATGCGCCATTGACACTGTGATCGTCTGATTGACGTATGAAGCGCTTGTACTCAGTCCAGCGCAACAGTATATTTATCTCGGTCGTGGTGGGTCAGCTTATTGGCAAGTATTTTTTGAAGTGGAGGCAAATTATTTATATTGTTTTTCAGAAAGTAGAAAACCCTTGGTAATAATAAAATTCAAAATATAGTTAAAAATACGTATTCCAGGTAATACTAACACCGCGGTAAAACGTCTGCGCATGCGTCAACCTTACCTGTAATAGTATTGCGAACTTGATGAGAAGCTGTTCCGACCGTTTCCGAAGGCTCAAAATGGCGGTAAAATGGAGTGACTTCATTGTGCGTCTTTACAGCCAGATTTCGAGCGCAAAAATAAACATGTCATTCTAAAAACTAGGAATAAATACAGCCAGAAGGTTCAAGAAATTGTATTGTACAAGAACATGAACTAAAGGCGATTGTTGACAAATTTATCGTCTGAAACATTTTGTTTATCAACTAAGCAACGAGAATTTCCGAATTTTCGTTTGAGATACATTCCCCTAAAAAAAACTGTGTCGCCAAATATAAAAAATTTTCGTGTTCACAATAATTAAACTTTAGGATTTATTCTACAATTTGAGTGGGTTAAGAAGCTTAACTTTTCGAGAGTTTTCTTAACTTTTGAGTTTGAATTTTTGTTTTGAATAATTTTGCAAAAATTTTCGAAGTCGTGTCCGTTAAAATCAACAATTTTTTACATGAATTATATTTCATTCCATACTTTCAATGCCAGGACGCTTTCAATTAATGTCTAGTCTACCCATTTGCTATATTTTCTCGTTTGTTTTACTAATTTTTGACCAATTAATAAGCATGTTTTTGTTTTAGAAATTGATATTCAAATTCCCCGCCTTGTTCCCAGGCCTCATGATGAAAAATGCTAGGGATGGGCGATACCAGGATTTTTAATTCGATACCGATACTTTTAAGATCGGTATCGGCCGATACCGATACCTATTTCAATACCAAAATGAACACAAAATTCCAATTTTCGATACCGGAAATGAGTACTTAAATTGCTAGTATCGCTACTTTCGATACCTGCCGGTCAGCGGAAAAAGCATGCGACCTCCCCCCCCCGTCGCCAAAAAATTTTCGGTCAGTGTACCGTTTTAGCGGTTAAAAATTTTTTTCGGACAAATGCAAAATTTTCCGGACATCAGCAATTTTCCCCATTTCTCAAAATTTTTTTTCCTAAAATCCCAAAATTATCCATAATTTTCTAAAATTTTTGTCAATTAACCACATTTTTTCCAAATTCACACTTATTTTTGTAATAAAATCTTATTCAACCAAGAAGTGAAATTAAACAAGTCATTTAATTAGAAAAGGGTGCAAGTATCGAACGATACCACGTCAGTAATCGATACCGATACCGCTGTTTGTGGTATCGCTGGTATCGAATACCGAGTACTCGGTATCGCCCATCACTAAAAAAATGCGAGATCAGACTTCTCAAATTCCCGACCCTCGGGCTCATGTTATTGTCAAATTCCTAGTGATGGGCGATACCACCAGTATCGGTTTCGATACGATACCGATTACTTTTTGGTTAAAGTATCGAGGTATCGATTACCCAAACGATTACTTCCTCCAATTTTCAAAATAATAAATGTAAGTCACTTAATAAAGAGCCGACTGCTAAAGAAGTAGCCTTCTACTTTAACAGTAACGATATATTTTCAGAAAGTTACATATTTTTAACAGTAACGATTTGATCCGCCATTTCAATCCATAAAAAAACAAAAATCACTTTATTTCCCGCCTTTTTCATAATTTATTCTGTTGGCGAGGATAGAATGTCAAATAAAGTATAAACGAAGTTTGATTAAATTGATAAATGCAGTAAAATGATAAATTTTATTAGAAATGACCATGAAAACGATGACACAACTACAGGATTATAATGAATGTCTAATTTTAAAAGTAATCGAAACACTTTTTCGATACCGTGCAGTATCGACTACTTCCTGTTTGGGCCTGGTATCGGGTGGTATCGATATCAAGTAATCGGTAATCGCCCATCACTACAAATTCCTGACCCAGGAGAAGCAGGTAGCTGTCAAATCCCGTGGGTATGCCCGATACCCCCCCCCCCACCCCCTGGGGCAAACCATTGACTGTTGCATAAATGTGAATAGCTCTTTGGGGAAGACGATGAAATTACAAAACAATGCTAGAGCTACAGAGTTGGCTGATGTCTTTCCAGGTCTGCCTGGCAATGATGAAGATGGATATAGGCTGATAAATGTAAAACATTCAGCCTCTGTGTTCTCTGAAATTCATGTTTGCGATGAAGGTACTTAGTCATTTTAGTGATGATTTGTTTTTAAATTGGCTTTGCCAGTTTGCCCTATCGCCCAAATATTATATTTGAGTGTTATCTTGGCATTGTATAAGTGATAAAATGAAATTCTTACATACTGTAAGTTTTATCAGCTATTTTTGCTTTGTTTATTTATTATATAAATTATGTGCACCTTTGATATATGCCTTGGGCTGCTATGTCGAACCTGCACCTCAACCAATAAGATTTTGCCTTGAACTTTTAGGTAAACAAGAAGAGCTGAAGCCAACTTTTGTATAACTGAGTGAGTGATACAAAGTTGCATGAGAGATGGGTACATGGCACAACTTCAAAACCCAAATGAATGCCTGAACCCCTGTTATCAACCCGTATCGGCTTGATGTCCAAAGCATAAACATCACAGCGTCCACACTGTTCACTGTACTGTTGCTTCAGCTTTTTGTCATTTCCGTAGTGGTTCTGCAAGCAGAGAAAGGTTTATGGAGGGACTTTCCATACCTGGTGGTCACCATACAAGGCATAATTCCTTTGTATGTGACAAGAAGAGGTTAAGAAAATCTGATTTTCAGGCCAACCAGAAGCAAAAGAAACGTCGCAAATGACACGCCTTCCTGCCGATACAAAGGGAAGAGGCTCTTCATGAAGCTGAGGGAGTCAGTTTTGTAGCAGCAGGGTTTTGAACAATCCCCTGTTTCTATTAATGCATGAAATAATGACTTGCACAGTCCAAATATTTACTATTGCACTTTTTAAGACATAGCAACTTTTAAAACTGATTTTCTCCAAATACCTGTTTTTCGCAGTTGAAAAAAGATAACTTGACTAGTATTTACTCGATTGTTATGAAATTGTCAGGGATTGTTGCTCTAAGAGAGCTTTCTTGGATAAGCATAGAGATTTTTGAAATGTCTAATTTTAGGGAAGTTATGAATCAAAACGTGACCACTTTCTTGTTTACGAACTTTGACCAACCACTGTGTCAATTCCTTTTATAATATAAAAAAGTTCTATGCTTATCCAAGAAAACCACTTGTAATCTTTCATTTGGCACTATAAATTATATTTTCAGAATCTATGTTTCATTAGCTTTCATATGATATATAGTTTGTCATGGTTTAGAGTAAAACCTGGTGTGTTATGGCTATCTGAATGAACAGCCTAAAGTTTGGGTTAACCCCCGCCTTATAGCATAGCTCTTCTGCACTAAAGTGCAGGCGACTGAGGCGAGCTAATAACAAAAAAAACAACGAAAATATTTTTGGAACAATTTCAAAACAGTATTTACATGCTTTAGGTAATTTTATCATTTTTATTCATTATAAATAGCTTTAGAATGCTATAATAATTAATAAGGATGCTATAATAAGGACCTTGGTCAAAATATTTAATGCAACATTATCTTTGTCTCTGATCATATGCGGCACAGCAACAGTGTGACCAGGTTTTTTCAGGAGAAATTACCTCATCCGGTTTCATAAATTACTACATTCGGTCTAAAATTACCACGGTTCCATATTTTTCCCATTTCTCCATATTTCTTCCAAAAAATGTCCATTTTCCCCCCAAAAATGTTGGCGAGCTGGGGGGGGGGGGCAAAAAAATTTTCTGGGCACCAAAATTTTTCCGGAGAACCACCTCTTAAATTAGGGTTCAAAAAAAATTTTCCGGACAAATAACAAGTAAAACATGACCAAAATCTGTAAAATTTAGGGTTTTTTCACCAAAATCTGTACAATTAAGGTCTGGAAATTTCAAATTACCACAATCGGCCAAAATTGACGAAAAATTACCACGGTAGTTCTGAAATTACCGTAGTAATTACCACAAATTTCCAATTACCACAATCCTCCAAAAACTGACGAAAAATTACCACGGTAGTAATGAAATTACCACATCTGGTCACACTACACAGCAAACTTATATTGCATTCGACAATATAGATAACTTACATGAAGTATAACTTACATGAAGTACATGTACATCATGTGAATGACTTCTGAAGGTGTGCTAAGAGGTCTTGGGCTGCCTGGTGAAGGGACTAGGCTGTGCAAGAATATTGATGATACATAGCTGATGCCATGCAAGCATGTTGCAGTAAAATGGGGGCATATTGACAGTTGTTGGCATTGTTTCAGGAA